ATGTAAACCATGTATGATAATATTATTCCGGGAATGAGTTTATAATATCGTTCCAAATGGCATAGCTTAACATCAAATTTCGTTCTTAATAAACTTTTTTATACAAGGTCTTACTCAGTTAAGGTATCAAAATATCATAACATTTAATCAACGTTATTTATAGTGATAAAAAATAATGTAAATTTTATCGATTTTATTTGTTTATTATACAGATATTTTATAGTCGCGTAGGTTTGACTTGAAAATCTCTTAATTTGCTGTTTAAAACGATTTTTTTGCGTTTTCTGCTGTTGTTGTTTTGTTCTTCTTTGTACAGCTGTGTTAAATACGAACATATTTCGCTGAACAACAGTTTATTTTTTGTTCAATTTAGGACGTTATATTACCATTTGTTTTTATAAAATTATGTATATGGTTTTCTGCAATATTTTTTGTCCTTGAAAATTTTTTTTCCGCCACACTTATGAAAAAAGATTAATTACATCCACTAGTTTAAAAACCAACCCCGTTATTAGACCAAAAGACTTGATTTGAGACTCTGATTTTATGATAACATTTTCAGAAGTATAAAACGAGTAGAGTTCTATTTTTTTTTTTAGAAATAGCTTAAAAACCTTTCATTTTTGCGGCAAAAATTAGTGATAAAAATTTCGAAAAAAAATAAAGACCTCATATACAAGTATGATCAAAAGAAGTAAAAAAAAAATTTTTTTTAATTTATGGGCAGGCCGAAGACTTTTTGGTTTTACTCAGAATGCGTTGTACATAACGACATCACTTTGTTTAGATTGTTTCTCTAGTTTTAGAAATATTACTCTAACTCTTTAAAATCGATGTAACCGAACAAATTTGAATAACCATCTATCTTACGCGTTACTTTATTTATTGTGTAAGTTACGATTATTTTTTTTTTTTGAGGAATTTGTTATCATTATTTAAAATGTTAAAGACATCCACAATAATCACAATTTGACTTCCGAAACCGTAGCACTATTATATTCTGAAATATATGATCGATTATAAAGTCACATGATTTGCATCAAAGCGTTTTTTCAAAAGTGATTTTATCACTTTCAGATTTAAAAATTCCTGTAAACCTGTGACACCCCGAACCCACTATGCTCCGTCCTTACTATGCCCGACCCCACTGTACTGGTTTTTTTTGCAAAAACCTAGTGGATCAAATAACACATAAATAAATCAATGTCTTGTTAAATTTAGATGGAATGGTCGACGATTCATGTTTCAATCGTTTGTACTCCATAGTTTAAATTGTGATCGCTTATTAACAACAAATTTAATATCTATGTATTATATTCTTCGATTAGATCAATCTCATACTAACTTGTTATATTTTACAGATTTTTTTTTTTAAAACTCTATTATACTTCTATTTTACTAGATTGACAATGTTCAAAACAAAATGCAACTAAAAAAAACTTTTTTATAGATACTTAAATTGTAAAGGGTGGAGCAGTGAAACTGGCGATTTTTTGTTTGTGTCAAACCGCAAAACAACTACTGTTTCTATGATTCGTAGCTGAGAAAATATTTTTCATGTATCATAAATTTATTGGACAATGTAATATAAATAAATGCATATATTTGCTTCATTTGGTTACAGTACTCCAAAAAATAAACAGAAACTGTTGGAATGCCTACACATTTTATAAAAGTCATATCAAATCATCTGATTTAAATATACGTTGATTTGAACTCAGTTAAGATGGTAAATATATTATAACACTACAAGTGCTAGGCTGGAGTTGAGCAAAAATGTAATTGAGTTATTGTGTATACAAATATATGAATACGGCTCTTAAAGTGTGAAACAAAATTTTTAGAAATTGAAATCTATTAAAATAATTTTAATTTGGTGTATTGATAAAGTCGTATGGGGTGAATTAAGATGGCAAACTCTGGGAGACAGATACCCCTTATAGGTCTAAAGTTGTAGTGCATAAGCAGAAAAATATTTTGCACGTGTATTGTTCAAATAATAATAACTTGTTTTCATATTGATCTAAAAAAATATGAAGGTTGCCTGCATACAAATATATTGGTTTGAAAAAGAAACAACAGATATTATGTTACTAGTACACATTTTATAAAAACTGTACCAAACTATCTGATTTTATATAATATAAAAATACTTCTTGATAGGATATTATTAAAAAAAACATTTTTTACTTAAACCCAAAAATATATTTTAGTCCATGTATACCATGTATGATAATATTATTCCGGATATGAGTTTATAATATCGTTCCAAATGGTATAGCTTAACATCAAAATTCGTTCTTAATGATGACCATTGGACATAAATTAAATAATGTCTTGTTAATTTTAGTTGGAATGGTCGACAATTCATGTTTCAATCGATTGTACTCCATAGTTTAAATTGCAATCGATTATTTTCAATAAAATTAATATTTATGTATTATATTCTCCCATTAGATCAATCTCATACAGCATACTAACTTGTTATACTTTATAGATTATATTTTTTCAAAGCTCTATTATACTTCTATTTTACTAGATTGACAATGTTCAAAACAAAATGCAACTAAAAAAACCTTTTTATAGATACTTAAATTATAAAGGGTGGAGCAGTGAAACGGGCGATTTTCCCATTTAAATACATTGAAAATCGCCCGATTTACTGCCTCACCCTTCTATTAATTTCTTGTTGTGTTCTAAAGAAGAAGTTAAATCTTATACTGGTACTATGACGGAGAAAACAATATATTTTACTTACATATATTACTTATTAGTTAAATATTACTAATGTTTATAGTCACTAGCTATCGGCTGTTGACTGTTACATTTAGATATTTAACAATCACCATTTATGGAGATTTAAAAAATATTGTTTTTTTACTAATAGTATAGGAGTAGTATCACAAAGTTAAATGTTCACGAGTTTGGTCTAGTCATAATAGAAAGTATCAATACTCATGACTTTTATTATTATATATATCTTAATATGACTAAACTTTTTCAACTTTTATCCCCAAAGTACCAACTAGTTGAAATTTGTGATTTATTGAGTTTTTACTCGAAGGATTTGGTCCAGTACTAAAACTTGTGGTTCCTCTGCAAAAAAGAAAGACTCATTATCATTAACGCCATAATATTTATATAGTGGAGTGTCAATTAGATGGCTGAGCCAATCTTTTACTACGCGTTTCCGGACAAACCCTATTAGATAACTTGAACGGTGAATTTTCTTTTTCTTGATGTGAACATTGATACTATAATCATCATCCAGCTCACGGCACGTTGATTATTTGTCCAAGAACCCCGTATTGGCCATTTCCATGATGAAGCCTTCTGATTGTTATGAACGGAAGTCTTGGCGAGACCAATCGCTCGGTGATTAAATCCAAGTCAGGCAGATGTGGTGGTCGCAATGGATACATAAAACCATTCGACTTAGATAAAGTCGGTATTTTTAGTTATTTAAGTGTGGCATAATAAGTACTACATACAAGAGATGATTCGATGTTAATACCAAGAAATTCACATAAAAGAATACCTTTTGAACAATGTGGAGGTTTTTTTAAATCGTTATCATACCACAATAACACAATCTATCACATACACTACATACAGCACCAAAGTTATTGTTTAAGAACCTCGATTTAAATTGAGTGTGAGCTTTGGAATGTATAGAATATTCATCATATGAGGCGACAGTGATATATTATGAAGTTTCAATAGTAGTTCTATCTCCTAATGATTGTTCAAGTTCTGATGAAGTTGATAACATTTATTGAGGCGAATGGGATATATCTGGAGGATACGTTATTGGCAATGTAGTGGAAGTACTAGTAGATGCTACTTGAGAAGTTCTGAAAATAGATTTTTGGTGCTCTTTGAATTCTTTTTGTCTCTCCGCGTTTGTTTTAGACATAGCTAAAATGTTACAAAAGGTGTTTTTTTTGTGTGAAACGGGATCGAAATCCAAGTTATTTATTATCTATTGGTTATTTATGGAACAATCTAGTTTTCCAATGTTTGGTTTTCTAATCAACTTATTTACTTACTGTATAAAATATGAAATTTATACTAGATAATTAAAAAATTACTTTTTCTCACTACTCTCTTAAATTAATCACATCTGTCACTCCAATATCTGTGTTGTTTCCGTCAGGGTAATATACAGATTGTAAATTGTTGGTACTAGGGTAAGATGCGCGTATAGAATATTTATAATATACAGCGATCATCTACGGGCGGCGCAGCGTGGCTCGTAGTTGTCAAAAAGGCTAGCTTAGGCTAGTCTTGCCTAGTCTAGCTATCAAATGTTGTCGGTAAAGAATTCGTTATACAGCTACACGTATGGTGCGGCATTGTCCGATGTGGACATTTAACATACACCCCTGGTACCATTGGACATATATCCGAAATGTTTACTTCCGTTTACCGGTCAAATTTATATCCGCTAGCTCTACTTCCGTTGTTTACTTCCGGTGTTTGCACAAATTTACTCCTACCCAAAACATCGTACCGCGCACATCAATTACTTTTAAATATATTGGTCGCGCAATTAACAAACTAGTCTACTAGTAAACTAGTCACTTAGTCTATTAATGATTAAACCCAAAAATAACATCCAGGATTCCTAACTTAGCTTGGGTAAGTTCACCAGTGTAATCATATAAAAGAAACACAATACAAGTAATAGAACGTCTAAAATAATAATATCAATGCAGGTGTGATTTGAGAGCCAAAAATTATTCTATGAAACATATAGCTTACAAACAGCTAAATAAATACATTTTGTTACAAGACGGATGAGTAAACAGGTCATACCTAAATTTGTTGTGTTTATCAAGCAGCAGAACAACTACTATTGGTTTACGATTCGTAGGCTAAAGCCATGCTTATTTATTCTTGAATTGAATTTAAAAAAACATCGAACAAACAAACTACATATGCGTTTAAACAATTCTTATACGCTTTACATTGAATTCACTGTAATAGAAGCCATTAAACGAAGGAGAAGCATTTAAGTTTTAAACACGGCAGAACAGTATTCAAATATTTTCGCATTTGAAAAAAAATACAAACAATAATGAATTTTAAAAATTGCGTTATGCTTTTATACTTATTTGTCCATTTGTGTACATCAAACGCAAGAATTCGCAAAAATCCACAGGTAATTTTACATTTTTTTTTTTAATTGAAGGCACATTAGTTCTAAAACAGTAGTATTTACATTGTATATTAAAATTAAATATTTAATATTTATAGAAATTAGCCGAACTATATAGAAGTGTTTCAGAAGAACGCCCTTTAGGTGTTTATTTGTTTGACGTAGAAAATTATATAAAAAAACCAAAGGTGCGCAAGGAATTTAGAATTTCTAGATTGGATAAAAAAAAGATACAAAACTCCCATTTTAGTACGTTGAATAATAATAACTCATTAATAGATATTGTAAAATATATACATGTGAAATGTGAATACCTTTCCGTCTCTTTTATATTTGCAACTAAGCGTTATTGTTAATTTAATCTTTTGGTCATCAGTCTCGAGTCACCGAAAGCACTGCCCGCATTTATTTAAACATCATGTTACCTACATTGATGACGTGGTCATCATATAACACCTTACAGCATAATTTGGTTTGGTAATTTTTAATGTGAGTACTTTTATAATGATTTCTAGTTGGGTTTATTTCGGAAGAGCAATTTGTAGCAGTTATAACATCAAAGTTTACTTATTGGGTAATTATGATTTTTTTCTATCCTAATATATGATACATTTTTAAAAAAATTATAATAAATACTCTATGAACCTAGTGAATAATATAATAGTAATAATTCTAGATTAATTATTTCTATAATAGTAGTTTTCACATTGTGTCTTAAAAACAGAAATTTTATGATTTTAGCAACTCGAAAAAATGTATAAAAAAATCGAAGATGCTGGAAAGTGTAATGTCCTAGTAACCAAGGAAAGAGTTAAATGGTTTTTACTGAAGAAACGACTCCTATATAGACTAAGTAAAAAGGAAATCGAAGCTATAACTAAACCAATGAAGGGTTCCAGAAAAAGTAAAACGCTTCTTCTATCTTCTTTTTCAACGAAATATGTTACAAAACTATTTTATGACAGTTAGACTGAATTTAATTTATATTGGAATATTAATTTAATGACATTGCTCATGATTTATTTTTTATACACGATTTTCAATGATTTAAAAACCAAGCAAGTGGACAGACACAATTATTGATTCTATATGGCTTGTCATAATACCCATTATTTGGCCATTGTACATAAAAAGGCAATAATAATAATTGCAACCACCCAAACTGTTACAGCATTTTATAGGTTGATACATTTTAATGTGAATACTTTTTAAATGATTTCTAGATGATGCTATGAAATTTAGCGAGTTTTATAATTTTATGGTTTTCAAAGAAAATCATTTCTTATATGCATATATATAACACCAGCCGGTGGTAGATTTAAACGTTTACAGGACCCAGGTAAGTAATATGTTCACTCTCACCCTTTTTTTGTTTCTTCCCCAACTGAAGGATATTACATTTTATATCATTTTACATATTGCATTATTATTGCATTGTAAATTTGTTTTTATATCAATATTTCAGGGCTATAAATTTACTACAACATTCTATTGCCGTTCGCTGTAGTCAAAAAGTCAAATTTATTAAAGTATTCAATTAAGTTTATTTAAATAAAAATTCAAGGTTTATGTATTAATTCTTAAAACTCTAAGGGGTGTGTGTTTTTTTTTGTTTTAATCAATTATATGGGTATTTTGTAAATGTTATTATTAAAATGTTAAATAACTTGTTTTCTGCATATTATAATTATAAACTAACCTTAGCTGCTTAATCTTAGTTTCTATTAATAAATAAATAAATATATAAATCAAAATAGTAGTTAATTATTATTTATATTTAATGACTATTTGTTTGAATTGTAAATGTTATTTTTACATATCTATAGGTGTAGTAAAAAAGTAGAAAAATAATGTGCATGATTATTGTTAAAATAATAGAAAAAACAATTTTTGTAATAAACGCAAATACGTATAAGATTACTCATGTATAAATATGTCAGTTTAAAAAAAACAACAGAATCTATTGGAATGCCTAAAACACAAATAATACACATTCGTGTAAACAAGTAATACATTTTTTGTATTTGTCAGGTTAGGTTGCAAAACAATTACTGTTTCTATGATTCGTAGCCGTACTCAAGAAATACATTTATTGCACAATGTAATATAAATAAATGCATATAATTGCCTCATTTGGTTACAGTACTCCAAAAAATAAACAAAAACTGTCGGAATGCCTTCATATATTATAAAAGTCATATCAGATCATCTGATTTAAATATCCGTTGATTTAAACTCAGTTAAGATGGTAAATAGTCTTCAGAAATAAGTATACCTTTTTTTTTTCCAAGTCAGAATTGTAGACGACCCCGGGACTTAGCCAATCGGCATTACTACAGGGCTGCCTACATCGTTTATTGTGACAAAATAGCATTACAATATATTATACAATGTACATGAATAATATAACAAAACACAATAAATGAAACACAATACAATAAATGAGAATGACTAAATATTGAAAAATAAAACTACTGATTTAGCCAGGGATCCTGCTGTCGTTACTTTCCAGCCTTGGCCTTCCGGAACGCCTCATATGGACTGCTGCCTGGATAATGGTCGAACCTCGTTCCGCATAGTTGATGAGCCATGGCCACAATGTGCTCGGCTATCTCCCCTGACTCTTTTGCACCATCCGCCTCCGTCGTAAGCCGAGAGACCTGCGCCAGCGCAAGGCGCAACCCAGCTTCAATGGCCACTTCATCATCCTCAAGGCCCTGAATGTCACCGGACCCAAAACTCGCTTCCAAGTTAGTGAGTTGTTCTTCTTCGACCCTCCGTCGCTTTCTCCATGGTTCCGCGACTACTACCGGAGATACCTCATTAGAGGGCATCCTTAGGGCATCATATTCGTCCGTTACTGAGTTAACACTAGTTTTGTCTACCTCATCTTCATTTAGGTGTTCCATCTCCAATCCTGGAGCCTAACTTTTTTCCTCTGTTCATCTAGTTTTTTTCTGATCTTCATTACCATGAATTCTACTTCATCGCACAAGCGGAATGGACCCAGTTGTCGCAGTCGGTCGAGTTCATCCTCTTCTTTTGCTTTCTTATCTGCCTCTTCTTTTCTCAGTTCACGGTCGCTGGATGACAATCGGAGTGAGCCAGGTTTACCCTATCATTCCCACTCACTTCTGCCGCCCCTTGGGTGGAATTCGAGAACCCTGGGGGAGTAACTTTGTCTTTTTATAACTCTCCATGTTATGGTTTAAAGGGTGGCCTTTCCCGTCGCTTTTGCCATAGTGCTAGGGGTGTGGTACTTTGTTATAAAGTATAGATCACTATCATTAATACTAAAAGTATTATCATGTTTGTTTTTGTCTCTTCTATTTTTCTTCTATTCTACACTATTTTCACATATTAATTAAGCTTAAAATTATATATTTTTTGCTTTAAAAGTTGTACACAACGACATCACTTTTTTTAGATTGTTTCTCTAGTTTTAGAAATATTACTCTTTCCCTTAATTTTTTTATTCCGTAATACTATCATCTCTTTAAAATCGATGTAACCGAAAAAATATGATTAAAATAATGTAAGTTATGAGTATTTTTGACATTTTCATGTCTTAGCTCTGGCACATAACCGAAAAAAGCGTTATCAAAAAAGAAATGGGGTTGAAGATGACGTTGGGGGTGGGAGATAGGGGTGAGAATTAGCCGGTACAAAACCATAAAAATAAGTAACGTAAAAAGCGTTACCACACTGAGTGGGGTGGGGTAGGAGATAAAGATGGGAGATAGGGGGTGAGTGATAGGGGGTAGGGATAGGGGTTGAGTGATAAAAAAACAGTGTGCATAAGTATTGTTTAAATAATAAAAACTCATGTTTTTGAACTAACTACAAAAAAAGTATTTAGGTATCATAATATAAAAAATCTAATAAAAAAAAAGGCTATAAATGATTAAACCCTAGAAATAACATTCAGGATTCTTAACTTAGATTGGGTAAGTTCACCATTCTAATCATATGAAAGAAACACAATACAAATAATAGAACGTCTAAAATAATAATATCAATGCGGGTGTGATTTGTAAGCCAAAAATTATTCTATAAAACATATAGCTTACAAAAAGCTAAGTAAATACATTTTGTTACGAGATGGATGAGTAAACAGGTATACCTAATTGGTTGTGTTTTTCAAGCAGCAAAACAACTACTATTTGTTTACGATTCGTAGGGTATAGCCATGCTTATTTTATTTAGAATTGAATTTAAAATAACATCGAACAAACAAACTACATATGCGTTTATACAATTCTTATACGCTTTACATTGAATTCACTGTTATAGAAGCCATTAAACGAAGGAGAATCATTTAGATTTTAACACGGTAGAGCAGTATTCGAATATTTTCGCATTTGAAAAAAACCACATAATAATGAATTTTAAAAATTGTGTTATGCTTTTATACGTGTTTGTTCATTTGTATACATCAAACGCAAGAATTCGCAAAAATCCAAAGGTAATTTTACATTTTGTCTTTTTAATTGAAGGCACATGAATTCTAAAATAGTAGTATTCCATTGTTTATTAAAAATAGATATTTCATATTTATAGAAACTAGGCGAACTATATAGAAGGATTTTAGAGAAATATCCAGCTGTTCATATTTGTCAAGTAATTGATTATATAGAACAAAACCCAAAAGTGCGCAAGGAATTTGGAATTACTGGACGGGATGATGATAAGATATTAAGAACCGGGTGGAGTACGTTGAATAATAATAACGCATTAATAGATATTGTAAAATAAATACATGTAAAATGTGAGTATTTATACTATTATGAATAAGGCGTCTGGGGTAAAATAAAAAAAAAAAAATATGCAGAATGTAAAGGTATTTGGATAAAAAAAGCTATACAAATATATATTAAACGCTTTTATCTTGTTTTTTACAAATTGTGTTAGAATGTTAAACGTTTTACAACAGTTACACTAATTGTTAGAACTATTGAAATATTCATTTTATGACATTCCTCAGGAATTTTTTTTGTTAACGCGATTGTAGTTTGTTTGAAAACTGAACAAGCGGACAAATATAATTATTGCTCTTATGTGATTTTGATGTGTAGTACCCTTAACTACCAAATATTAATCATAAAAACGCAATAATAATAATTGTAACCACTCCATCCGTTATAGCATAATTAAGCTTGGTAAATTTAAATATGTGTACTGTTATAATGATTTCTAGTCCACACAATGTCGGAAGAGCAATTTGTAGCATTAATAACATCAAAATTTAATAATTATGTAATTATGATTTTTTTCTATCCTAATATATGATATATTTAAAAAAAAAAATTATTATAATTAAATACTCTATAAGTTTAGTGTATAATATAATAGTAATAATTCTAGATTAATTATTTCTATAATAGTAGTATTCACATTGTGTATAAAAATCAGAAATTTTATGATTTTAGCAACTCGGAAAAATGTATGATAAAATCGCAAAAGCTGTAAAGGATAATATCCTAGTAACCAAGGAAAGAGTTAAATGGTTTTTACTGAAGAAAGGACTCCGATATGGACTAAGTGCAAAGGAAATCGAAGCGTTAACTAAACCAATGAAGGGTTCCCAAATGGGTAAAACGCTTTTATCTTTTTTTTCAACTAAATATGTTACAAAACTATTTTATGACAGTTAGACTGATTTTAATTTATATTGAAATAATAATTTAATGACATTGCTCATGATGTATTTTTTATACACGATTTTCATTGATTTGAAAACCAAACAAGTGGACAGACAAAATTTTTGATTTTATATGGCTTGTCATAATACCCGTTATTTGGCCATTGTATATAAAAACGCAATAATAATAATTGCAACAGCTCAAACTGTTACAGCATTGTATAGTTTGATAAGTTTTAATGTGAATACCTTTTAAATGATTTCTAGATGATGCTATGACATTTGGCGAATTTCGTAGATTCATGGTTTTCAAAAAATAATGTATTCGCTTCAAGACCAACCGGTGGTAGATTTAAACACTTGCAGCCTTCAGGCAAGTAATATGTTCACCATTACAAAATTGTTGTTTCTTTCCCAAATAAAGGACATTACATTTTATATATTGCAATATTATGGCATTGTAAATTTATTTTTATATCAAAATTTCAGGCCTATAAATTTACTACAATATTCTATCGCCGTTCGCTGTAATTAAAAATTCAAACTTTTTAAAGTATTCAATTTAAGTTTATTTAAATAAATATTCAAGGTTTACGTACTAATTCATATTTAAAGGGTGCGTGTTTTTTTTCGTTTTTATCAATTATATGGGTAATTTGTAAATGTTATTATTAAATATTATAAAAATGTTTAAATAACTAGTTTCCAGCTTATTCAAAATATAATTTAACCTTAGCTGCTATGTCTTTTCTGATAGTAAAAATATACATATCCAAATAAATGTTGCATTTACTTTTGAGTTGAGTGTAGTATCGTTTTTTACGTACGTTTTTTATAGTGATACAAAATAATGTAAATTTTTATGATGTTATATATAACAATGCTGTATATAATAATGTAAGTCTAGAAACAAATAAAATGTCTTATCGACCAAAATAAATGTTTCTATCTAAAATATAATTTTTAAGAATTTTAAAACATTGTC